GAGCCCACGGGGTCCCACACGGCGCCTCTCTATCAGCCCAGCCCTGTCCCCGCACCTGGCCCGGGGGAGGGGCTGGAGGGCCGCTGCCAGGACTGGGGTCGCCCTGATCCTAAGCTCAGTCCCACGCTCGACTCCCACGGTGCTCAGAGGCCAGGGCCACCCTGGAGACGGGGTCAGCCAGGGTCAGCCAGAGGTCAGTCAAGGGTCAGGGGTCAACCTGGAGATGGGTCATCCAGGGTTAGTCAAGGGTCAGCCAGGGTCAGTCAGGGGTCAGCCAGGGTCAGTCAGGGGTCGCCCTGGAGACAGGGTCAGCCAGGGTCAGTCAGGGGTCACCCTGGAGATGGGGTCAGCCAGAGGTCAGGGGTCACCCCGGAGATGGGATCAGCCAGAGGTCAGCCAGGAGTCAACCTGGAGATGGGGGTCAGTCAGGGGTCATCCAGAGGTCATTCAAGGGTCAGGGGTCAACCTGGAGATGAGTCAGCCAGGGGGTCACCCTGGAGATGAGGTCAGTCAGGGGTCAGCCAGAGGTCAGCCCAGAGATGGGTCACCCAGGGGTCACCCAGGGGTCATCCGGGCCTCTCCCCTCTGCCCGCAGGGTCCCTCATCCAGGTGCCCATGTCCGAGAAGGGCAAGATTCCCCGGGGCCGCCTGGGGTCCCTGTCCCTGAGGAAGGAGGGCGAGCGGCAGTGCTTCCTGTTCTCCAAGCACCTGATCATCTGCACGCGAGGCTCGGGCGGGAAGCTGCACCTGACCAAGGTGAGCAGGCCGGGCGGGGCTGCCCCTGACCAAGGTGAGCAGGCCGGGCGGGGCTGCCCCTGACCAAGGTGAGCAGGCCGGGCGGGGCTGCCCCTGACCAAGGTGAGCAGGCCGGGCGGGGCTGCCCCTGACCAAGGTGAGCAGGCCGGGCGGGGCTGCCCCTGACCAAGGTGAGCAGGCCGGGCGGGGCTGCCCCTGACCAAGGTGAGCAGGCCGGGCGGGGCTGCCCCTGACCAAGGTGAGCAGGCCGGGCGGGGCTGCCCCTGACCAAGGTGAGCAGGCCGGGCGGGGCTGCCCCTGACCAAGGTGAGCAGGCCGGGCGGGGCTGCCCCTGACCAAGGTGAGCAGGCCGGGCGGGGCTGCCCCTGACCAAGGTGAGCAGGCCGGGCGGGGCTGCCCCTGACCAAGGTGAGCAGGCCGGGCGGGGCTGCCCCTGACCAAGGTGAGCAGGCCGGGCGGGGCTGCCCCTGACCAAGGTGAGCAGGCCGGGCGGGGCTGCCCCTGACCAAGGTGAGCAGGCCGGGCGGGGCTGCCCCTGACCAAGGTGAGCAGGCCGGGCGGGGCTGCCCCTGACCAAGGTGAG